TTGACTAAAAGAGCTAAGTTATGAAGCAAATTTTTATTCAAAATAGAGTACCTGTGCTGCACAAAGCTTTTGTCAGTCCCATGTCCTTCAACCTGGCTAGTTGCAGAATTCATTTCCTATTAAACAGTCTCTCCCAACTTTGAGACTTCCTGATACATTGGAATTAAGTAAAGGTAAAGGTTTCCCTTGCACATACGTGCTAGTCATTTCCGGCTCTAGGGGGCGGTGCTCATATCCGTTACAAAGCCGAAGAGCCAGCGCTCTCCGAAGACGTCTCCGTGGTCATGTGGCTGGCATGACTAAATGCTGAAAGCTCATGGAACGCTGTTACCTTCCCACCAAAGTGGTTCCTATTTTTCTACTTGCATTTTTACATGCTTTCGAACTGCTAGGTTGGCAGAAGCTGGGACAAGGAACGGGAGCTCACTCCATTACACGGCGGTAGGGATTCGAACCGCCGAACTGCCGACCTTTCTGATCGACAAGCTCAGCATCTTAGCCACTGAGCCACCACGTCCCTGAAAACATTGGAATTATAACTCCCTAAATTCCCAGCCATCACATAAATTATGAGATTTGCATTTCCTGCAGATGTGTGGAAGGCAGCAAGCTAAGGAATATGTGACTGGAATTCCTCTTAATTCTTGTTCGATAGAGCTTTAGTATGTCAGAAATCCTTCAAATCATTCCTGGATTATGACAGCTCTATGTCCATGCCTCGGTTCTGCAGGTTTAATTTGCTGTGGGGAGGTTTTGCCTTTTCTATGAAATGAGTGGTAAAGATGAAATACAGTGGCCTAATCCAAGTCAGGACATTTATTTCTTGGATTACGCAGCTCCGAAAAAGAGGGCTGCACCTGCAGCATGTAATGGAAGAGCTCCTTGCCATAGCCGTGCCGCTGAAGAGACTCGTGAATGTAGAAATCCAGCACACACAGAGGTTCCACTTCATTGTGAGCTCCTTGACGGTCCTGAAAACAAAAACAAAAAAACAAAAAACAGACAGCCTCCATGTTAAAATGGCTCAAATCTTTCCAGGGTGGGGGGAAAAAAAATCGGATTTTATTTTTTTTAGTTTAATCAAATTTATTTTAATAAAATGCTTTTGGAGTAAAAAATCTACCTAAAATAGTTTTCTATTTAAAATACATTAATAATTTAGTTTATTCAACATGAAATGGAGCTTAGTTATATAGCATACGGCTATATATTCTGCGATATCGGGACTGTCGGTGAGTCAACAGCAGGTCAGAGGAGGAGCCGCTGCGGGACAGAGATGACAGTTGCTCTTTAAAAATTATGATTTAAATCGAGTTGATTTAAATCAAGCCTTTTTACTAGTGATTTAAATCGTGATTTAAAGCGACTTGATTTAAATCAAATTCATCCTGGATCTTTCTGAACCAGGCATTCTGCTGCAGGCTAACTTTTCCTGCGCTTCTCAAAAGAACCTCCAGTTTGAATCTGTCTTTGGACTGTCTGCTCAAATCAATAATTTACATGCTGGTTAGCATTAAAAAGCAATTAGGCCTGGTGAGCTGCCCTTTTATTCTGCTTCAACTCCCCAGTTGCTTAGGGTTTTCCAGGATCATTGGCTCTGCCCTTGCAAAGTTGTTTTAAAGGTTTTCTTGGGGATATTCTTAATACTTTTTGGCATTACTAAATTTTCCCCTTTCTAAAAACGTAGATAATAATGCCACATACAGAGGTATAAAGTGCCACTCATGACATTTTTCATTTCACACAAATAGAAGATTGTTAAAAGGGGGGAATTTATTCTGCAAACAAGAAAGCAGGAAAAGGATTATTTCATCTTCTGCGCCTCAAGTTAGAGCACAAACAATAACTGCAGCCGTGTTTTTTACAACCTCCCCACACCAAATTAGACTAAAGAGCACAACTGAAATTGTGCTAAATCAGAATCAGTACAAGAATGACTACATGTATGTTTTTTTTTAAGCATTTCAGGTGGTTTTTTTGCTGATTTCAAACTAACACTACAGTATTCAGCATGATGCATCATTTGATTTTCTTATTGTTGGGATTCAGCAGTGATCCCCAACCTTTTTTACGCCGCGGCCCGGTACCGGCATCAGCTGGGCGCCGCCATCTTTTTTTGATGAAAATGTGCTTCCGGTGAGCTTTCTACCCGGAAAAGCTCACCGGAAGCACTTTTTCATCAAAAAAAGATGGCGGCGCCCAACAAGCCAGCGGCCCGGTAGGACTTGTTCCGCGGACCGGGACCGGTCCGCGGACCAGTGGTTGGGGACCCCTGAGTTAGAGCATAACAGGAAGCAATGGTTCAATGAATGAAACTTTGTCCTTGAGCCCCTACTAAACCTTCTTTCTTTCTCTTTACAAGAGGGCATTCAGCAGGTCTGTAAAAAACATGGCAATGATGATTAACTCAGAGTCTACAATGGATGTTTTCAATCTTTTTTTTTCATTTGTGACAAAGGGGGCAACTCCAAGATCACAATCTTGTTGATGTGGCTAAGAAATAGTCATCAAAACCAACTATTAACTTTGTCAAGACATCTTTTCAGCTTTCACCAAGCTTAAAAAAGATTATTATGAGTGGCAGGGAGCCAGATTCCTTGCAATAGAGAATTTATACTTTGAGAATATGACCCAAACACACCACTGTGGGAATATACCAGTATAATTTAAAGCTTCTTGCAACATAGGGATGGAAGAGATCTTGGAGATCTTCTCACCTAACTTCCTGATCAGAACTTGCACTGATCCTGTTTGGGAACCATGCACCCTTTTCCACCAGTGACAAAAATTCCATGTATCAAGGGTGATTTTCAAGTGTACTTACCAATACAAAGAGTTTTTTGTAACCAACTTTGAGGAAGCCAATTATAATCCCTTTGCCAGTCCTGAAATCAGTAAAAGAAGATAGAAAGCTTTATTTTATTTATAAATCAAATTTATACAGCTGCCAATCTTACAAAAATGAGATTTTCTTCAAGGAAGGATTAAAAGTGGTAAATATTCAGAGAGTAGAGTAGAGTAGAGTAGAGTAGAGTAGAGTAGAGTAGAGTAGAGTAGAGTAGAACAGGCTATCTAGTTCTGATAAATTTAAACTTGACCAAAGATTGATCCTAACATAAAGGATTATGACAATACCAGTTTGTCAAAAACTTTTTGGCATATGGTATAGCAAAAAGGAAGAACAATACTGCAGTGGGCACTGGCATAGAGTCCCATTGCACCTGAACAAATATTTTTGGGGAAGCTGCAATGCAACTCTACACCAGTACTCTTTGCAATATCATGCTTCACTTCAGTAATGACAAAAATCATTCAAGAAACTAGGATTACATATGTAGCAGAGACTCCCTTCACAAAAGTATTATTTGGCTGAAATGCAACTCTATGTGTCAGCGCTTCTTGCAGCACCTTGCACCCTTAAAATGATAAATGAATTCATGTGAATTTAAGTTACATATCAGAGGATTCTACCTACTGTGAGCTTCTACAAGCAGAATAAGCCAAAGCAAGAGTGAGTTTTGAAAACATTTCCATTTTGTCTTCATAAGCCTGATCATATTTTGGATTGGTGCGGTGGCCTAGAGGTGGACCTTTCACCTCACAATCAGGAGGCTGCGAGTTCAATCCTAGGTAGAGGCAGATATTTCTCTCTCTGGGCACTCTCTGAGAATATATCTGCTGAACAAAACTCCACATTGGCAACAGGAGGGGCATCCAGCCATTAAAACACTCGCTCAGACTCCACCCCGCACTGGATTATGAGGTTGTTAAATGAAGATGATGAAGCCTGACCAGATTTTCTCAAAAAAAAACAACCCTCCAAAAACCTATTTCACTACTCAAAGTTGCTTAGGAGTCCCCTAACCCACAATTTGAAAAGCTTTGCCCTATCTGGGAATCAATCCTTCTGAACTAAAGCAAATGTTACTCCCAAACAGGCAGTCTGTATATAGAATCCAAATTCTTTTTGCTACGAGACTCACATTTTTGCTTCACTGTCTTTCAGGATGTAGAGCACATGGCGGTTGGTTTGCATCCTTGAGGCACTGGTGATTGGAGTTGGCAGATTCTGGGCCTGAAACCAATGAGATTTGAGTTTCACCAAAATGATGGCAGGAGGTAGGGTGGAAGAGAAGATGCAGTTATGTGGTGGGCATCTGAACTAATGCTGAGAGAGAAAAATATACTCTTCGCTTCCCATATTCCTCATCTCTTTTAGCCTGCATATACTGGGACCTATACACCAATCACAGCACACTGAACCAATAGGAATGCAGGCAGTCCTCAACTTAAAGTCTTTGTTTAATGCCCATTCAAAGTTACAATGGGACTTGAAAAAAAGTATTTTACGACCATTTTCACACTTAAGACCATTGCGGCATCCCCATGGTCACATGATCAGAATCTGGATGCTTGGCAACTAGTTCATCTTTATGATGGTTGCTGGGTCATGTGATCACAATCTTCTGCAAGGGTCATGTGATCACAATCACAATCTTCCGACAAGCAAAGTTGGAAGCCAGATTTATTTAACTGATATTAACTTAACAACTGCAGTGATTCACTGAACAACTCTGATAATAAAATCGTAAAATTGAGCAAAACTCACTTAACTGCTTCACTTAGCAATATAAATTTTGGGCTCAATTGTTGTCATAAGTCAAGGACTACCTGTATGTGAAATTAGGCTGAAATTGCCCTAACCAAAGATTAAGGAAGCATGTTCGTAGAGAAGATAACTATCCAGAAATCCTCTGGGGAAGGTACATAAAAAGAAACAAATCATTAAGGAACCATAGGGAAAAAAAACATCATCTCAAACTGGAAAAAATTGGGCTTGAGCACATGGTAAAAATGCTAACTTGTGGGAAATAAAAATAAGTCCTGAAGCTTGCCTATTTCTTCTTTTTGGATCCAGATGTGGCAGCTTCCTAGTTCAAAAGGATTTGTGTTTTAATTTTCTCTAAATGTTTGGACTAAATGAGCAGAATCACATTTGGCAAGGTGCCTCCTTCAACCTAATGTCTGATTGGGCTTGTACTCTAGCTCAATCAGTGAGCTTATTTAGAAAATTTACCCCAATAGTTTGCTGCTATCTCTACTTCCTCCAAAAGTATAACTGATTTTTTATAACCATTATTAACCTACCTTGGCAGAGGCTTTGCCCATCTCATCTATGATCTTCATGAGTTGCTGCTGCATATCAGCTCTGGTAAAACAAACATGGAATAACAATTAGAAAGGCAAAATTAAACAAAAACAAAATACTTATCTACATTTTAAAAAATGAATAATTTGATGCAACAGATACAAGCCAACCCAGGACTGATAATTTCTATATATACTGTGTGGGTGTGGGTGTACATCCACCCACAGTTTGTATACACACACACACACACACACACACACACACACACTTATCCTTCCAGATAGAAAGGGTTAAACACACTCTTGGATTCAACACAAGATGGCTTCAATTGATCATCCTATCTGACACAAAAGCTGAGTTTATATGCCACAGCAAAACAGAATTCATACCGGTATATATAGATATATAACCAAAAAACCCAAGCAAGTTAATTTCTTAATAAAACTGGTGGAAAAGGGGATTTTGACTTTTGAATCTTTCTTCCTTTACCAGCAGCAGTGAACTGTAGGCACACTTAACCTCATGAAGCATTTTGCTGGGTGGAAAAGGTTCTAGCTTAGTTTTAAAAATACAACACATCAACTGGAGGAGGCTTAAGTCATAGAGTATCTATAAGGTGTGAAATAGATCTATCTGGATATAGCTGTTAAGACATCAATCTAGAACCCAGAAGCCTGTGAGTTCTACTCCCAGCTGAGGAACAAAGCCAGCTGGGTGACCTTGGGCCAGTCGCTTTCTCTCAACCTTAGGAAGAAGATGGCAATGGCAAACCACTGCTGAGAAACCTTGCAGAAGCCAGGAATCAACAAAGCCTCAAAGACAAACACATGCATACACAAACGTGGTCCTTCATATCCATCATTTGGATGATGCAGCAGAATCAATCAAGAATACAAACACGGTGTGGAGACAATATCAAATCCTTTATTTTATTTCATTTCATTCTCACTCTTTCATTCACGCTTCTCTATTTTTCTACGAGTGATTCGGATCAATCAATAATAAAAACACAGCGTGGTGGAGACAGTTCCCAAACCTTTATTTCCTTTCATTTTCTCATCCTTTCATTCATGCACCTCCATTTTTCTATGGGTAGATCCGGAGGGATAAGGGGAGAGGGATATTGCACGAGTCCCCAACATACGCATCCCCACTCCCTTTTCTACCTTTCCCACTGATGAGCTCTCTCTACGTTTACCCAGTTTGACTGACACCTTTTGCTCCACAACCGATCGCTGTGCGCCGGTGTCTGTCTGTGTAGAAAATCAGGGGCAAAAAGGGCCTCCATCATTTCTTATGTTACAATCTATGAACTTCCTGAACCCCAAGCTGCCCTTCATCGGCCTTCTTCTATTTAATGAGGGGTGGCCGCAGAACGACACCCCTCCCCCGCCTCTGAAGGTCGCCCAGCGCTCGGGCTCTTTGTGCGCCTCGAGATCGCCGTGGGTGGAGGAAGGCGTAACTCGAGCGCCGGCGAGACGGGAGACGGGGCATCCCCTTGATGTCCCGGGGACAATGCCTAGGAATGCCAGGCGTTCTCGGAGGGCTTACATTGCCGCCAAGATCCCTCTACCTGTGAGTGGCGGTGAGCCCGGCTCCCTTTCTGCCCGACGGCTGCAGGTGCTGATCCACCGTGGCGATCCGCTCGCCGAAGAGCAAGTCCACGTCAAAAGGGAACTCCATACTTTCGGCATCCGGGTCCCTTCCTTCCTTCCTTTCTTTCTTCTTTAGGCCGGGTGGGTTGCG